ATTTGGACGGAGAAGTATTTCGATTGGATCTTGAATCTGGCGTTGGCATCGATAAAGTTCCAATTTGTGCGATTTGATATCGCTCCATCACCATGGCGCCTGTATTCATTTGTACACCTCCAAAAATGTCGATTTGATGTCCTTCCTCCATCAGCTTGCTCGCCGTTAGTTGCAGATCGGCGTTGAAACCGGTCGGAATCTTCCCAGCACCCACCTCTCTCTAAACCCATATATATATATATATATATATATATATATATATATATATATATATATATATATATATATATATATATATATATATATATATATATATATATATATATATATATATATATATATATATATATATATATATATGTAAAAGAGACTTAGATAGTTGTGGTGATGACATGTGGCATGCCACACGTGCATACTACTGACATGTGTCATGCCACATGTAAACCACAAGCCACATGTCACTACACACATGCATATTTAGTTTTGTATTAAATTATTATTTTTATTATATTTTATAAACCCTTCACTTTCCAACAATAAAAACCCTTATGTTTGTTCTTTTTTTTGTAAAATTTTCACTTTCTAACTATTTTATAAATATTTTTTTGTCGTTTTAAGATATTTTTTAAATATGCACGACTATTTTATAATGTTAAAAAATTTATATAAAATTTATTAATTAAAAAAATAACATTTCTTATAATTTTTAAAATTATCTATCATCTCAAAAGAAACTATTATATACAAATTTTATCACACATGCATCTTTATTAAGTTCATAACATATTTTAATCTTTTGTCTTATTACATTATTTATTTAATTACATATTTTTTAGCAAACTAAACACACACTGAAAGTTTAATTGAAAAATTACATGTGGCACATAACAGACATGCATTCTCTAATGATGTGTCATTGCTTAATTGATTTATTTGACATTTTTATTTTAATTTTTATTAATTAAAACGATATTCATTATTTTTTATTTAATGACCATTACATTTGTATAAAACTTTAAAATAGTTAAAATTATTTATCAAACACATTATATATCATTATTAGAAATTTAAAATAAATGATATTTTATTTTTAGATTTCAAAATTTAGAATATATATGAGCCCGTGCGAAGCACGGGGTTGATACTAGTTTATTAGTAATCATGAGATAAAAGTGTAAAAAACAAAGATTAGCTCTATTTTGCAAGGGTATATGATTATTCCATTATTTATCTGCAACTAGAAAAAACCTAGAGAAAATTGGAAAGACTTGGAAAGAACTTCAAACTTTATTTAAGTATTTTTTTTTTACATATTATTCGTATTATAATTGCGATTATTGTTATTATTATTAGTATGTTATAACAACAATAATAATTAGAACAATAACAATTCAAATAACAATTTAATTAACAATAACAAAAACAAAAAAGAAAAATAGTAATAATAATTATAATATAATCTGATGAAAGAGATTGAAGAAAATGAGAATTAAAAACTTAGAAAGAATTAGAAAAAATCTGGAATGAAGTAGATGAAATTCTAAAGAACTAAAAAAATTAAAAAAACTAGATAAAAGCTATGAAATTCTAAAAACATAGGGTAGATGTAAAAACAAAACAAAAAATGGTATTGATTTAGTGGGGTATGTAGGGTTAAAAATTTGTTGAGCATTTGTCAGATGCTAACAAACAAGATGTCTATTGTTTATTCGTAATCATGAGATAAAAGTGTAAAAAATCAAACATTAGCTCTATTTTGCAAGGGGATATGATTATTCCATTATTTATCTGAAACTAGAAAAAACCTATAGAAAATTGGAAAAGCTTGGAAAGAACTTCAAACTTTATTTAAGTATTTTTTTACATATTATTCATATTAAAATTCTGATTATTATTATTATTATTATTATTATTATTATTATTATTATTATTATTAGTATGTTATAACAATTCAAATGACAATTCAAATAACAATAACAATAACAACAAAAAGAAAAACAGTAATAATAATAACATAACATCATGAAAGCGATTAAAGAAAATGAGAATATTTTGAAAAAAATTAAAAAGAATTGGAAAAAATCTATAATTTGTTGAGCACTTGTCATGTGCCAACAAATGAGAAATCTAATGTTTATTAGTAATCACGAGATAAAAGTTTAAAAAATCAAAGATTAACTCTTTTTTGCAAGGGAATATGACTCATTGTTTATCCATGATTAATCCTAAAACAATCTTCGCATAATTTCTATAATTTTTTAATATACAAAATACAAGATAAAATGAATTAAAGAAGTGTATTGGATTTTGTGTAAAAATAAAAGTGTACAAATACTCTGGGACGGAAATAGTAAAAAATAACTTTAAATAAAGTTAATTACACATCAGTCGAGTGGCAAAAGGAATAAATAAAGTTTACTACTATAACATAAAAATATCAAAAAATACTTGAACAATAATTGGAAAGGGGTCGCGCGAACGCTGGCCCCTGCTACCACAAATTATGACGTAGGCTCCACCACTTGGGTAGACCTTAGGCGGACACCCTTCCAAAGTGCAATGGAAGTCATCAACCTAGGCCATGGGCCTTCTTGATCACCCATTGACCCCGTCCAGGTAAGTATGGAGCTATATGCCCCTTGGCCTTCATTTATACTCTCCTACTTGCATTGTTGTATCTTCCGCAACCGGTATGGGATGGAGGGATTCTTTTTTATGTCCCATTCTCCTCCCTTTTCGTTTCGTCTACGTGCTGCTTCTCTTTCTTTTTTTATTTTCTTTTTTTCATCTCTTTCTATTTCCAGTTCTCCCTTCAAGCTGACTACCTCAATAAGTTACAGTTCTTTTTTTTGAGCAACACTTCAAATTCTTCTTTTATACTATACTATCTTTATTATTTTCTAAAATGGTACTACAAAACTTGTGAATATTTTTTTTATAATTCTATTAGAAGTATTTTTTAAAAACAAAACTACAACATTTGTGAAAATAACACAATTATTTTTTTCTGAAGTGGAACTTTTATTTTTATAAGTCACTACATTTTTTGTTGTATTAAAAATGTTTGTTGTTAATTTTCTATTATCCGTATTGTTTTTTCAAAAATCGAACTACCCAACTTGTGATTTTTTCCCAATAATTCAGTATATTGTTTTTCTCCAAAATAGCAATATTCTGTGAAAATGGCACAATATTTTTTCCCTAAAAAAGGCACTATTTAATTTTATAACTCACTACCATTTTTTTGTATTGTAATTTTTTTCTCGAGCGATACTCTAATTTATTTTTCGATAATCCAATATTATATTTTCTCTAGAACATAAAATATGAGTATAATGGCAATGTGGTGTAAGAGTCACGTGTGTAGTGTGATGAAAAATTGATTGCAGTTTAATATATCAGTGTGATCATTCTACCGTGGAAGATCCGTGGCGGCACTCTAGTTTCCGGTAGCGACGAATGGGAGTATTGCGATGATAGTGTAACAGTTACAATGTGATAATGTGGAAAGTGTGGTAGTGTAACAACGGCAGTATGAACTCCTATTTTGGTTTTAAAGGATTTTTTACTCCAGTTCCTATTGAGAGAATTCTCTCTTTTTAATTACTAATATATTATATTCTAATATAAGGAGGGAAAAAGAAATAAAGGGCATAAATACTGACAATTTATTCAACGTGTCGTTGAGGGTAAATGCTTTCAAGGGTTTGATTTTCAAAAATTTTATACTCTTTTTTTATTAGGAAAAGTTAATATTCTAAAATAATGAGAGAAAAAAGAAAAAGGGGAAAAATAAAATTTGCCAATTCATTCGTGTAAAAACTTTGAGTATTTCATTTTTTCACATGTTTCAAGAATATTAGAATATTTTTTTTACTTACTAATCCATTTTTATTTTATAAAAGTCCAATATAGAATTTTTTATGCAACACAGGTTATCTTTAATATCCATCCGACATATTCAGATTTCATATTAATAATATAAATTTTATATAATTATTTATCCACAAATTAAATTTTATTAAGACAATAATAATAATAATAATAATAATAATAATAATAATAATAATATATTAAAAAATCCAAATAGGCTTTTTTAATGTCATTGTAGAAAGAAGTTGGAAAAAGTTTTAAGAAACTGGAAAGAGAAGGAAAAAACTCGAAGAATTAATAGAAACTAGAAGGATTAGAAGAAACTGGGAAGGAATTTAGAGAAAACGTGAAGTAGTTGGAAGAAACTCAAATGAGTGGTAGAATGTTGAAAGTTCAAAGTTCGAGCTCAAAAGAATAGAGGAAAAGTCCACTTTTCCCTTTTAGAACCAAAAAACAATAGTTTGATGTTGGAAGAAAATAGAACAAATTGAAAGAATCTTGAATTGCTACAAGAAATTTAAAAAAGTTTGAAAAAACCTAGAGAAAATTGAAAAAACTTGCAAAAAACTTCAACTTTATTTAAATATATTTTACATATTATTCTTATTATAATTGTGATTATTGTATTTATTATTATTGTTCTTATTGGTATGTTATAACAATAACAATAACAATAACAACACTAAAAATAATAATAATATAATCTAATGAAAGAGTTTGAAGAAAGTATAATCTAGAAAGAATTAGAAAGAATCGGGAATGAAATAGATGAAAATTTAAAGAACTAGAAAAAAAGAAAAAAACTAGATAAAAACTAGAAAGATACTAAAAAACATGAGGTTAAATAGAGACGTAGGTTTTAGAATAGTTTTCAAACAAGAGATGTGCGTTGTATAATTGTTATCAATTAATTAAGGTTCATTTTTCATCTATATTCTTTTCTCCCTACTCTTCTAGAATAGTTTTCAATCAACCAAGAACAGTCCAACATTGATTGATCGAATGAAAATAATCTCACGTCGTATTTTATGCACAAAAATAATCATAAGTTACGATGTGTCAGACCAAAATAAAATAATTTAGAAAAATATTAAAATTTAAGAGTTTAAAGAGCCGAAAACAAAAATCATTTGTGGTCGGTCCTCAATATACTGTTTTGATCAGAAATTATAGAAAACTATTTAATTATGTAATTTTTGTATACTTAGGTTCATTTTATGATGTCACTACGCCAAAAACACTATCAGACAACTGTTGATTAACTACTGTTTATGGAAACACAGTAGTTAAAAAATAACAGACTACTGTGAGTTTTTCTTGGCTACAGAACAGTAGTCTAGCTATGATGCTTTAAAACTGTTTTTAAAGTTTCGAAAAACGGTAATATATCACTAGTTGTCTGTGTTAGTTTAAAATACAGTTTTTGTTGCAACAGTTGTCAATAACAAGTTAAGAATACTCTATTTAAACAGTAGTATGATGTTTTAGTCTAGAACTGTTTTTAAACTTATTAGAAACAGTTATCTATTGCTAGTTGTCTGTTTCATATGATTTTTTGCCACCGTTGTTTCTAATGGGAATAAAAGACTCTTTTGTAACAGTTGTCTATGAATTAAGGGTAGAACTGTTTTTAAAGTTGTCAGAAACGGTAATCTTTTATTAGTAGTCCGTTTCACCTAAAAATACAGTTTTTGTTGCCACAGTTGTCAATAATTAGTTAAGACTACTATTTCTAAATAGTAGTCTGGTTTTTCAGTTTATAACTGTTTTTAAACTTATAATAAATAGTATTATATTGTTAGTTGTATGTTTCATATGGTTTTGTTTTTCATAGTTGTTTATTATAAGAATAGAAGACTCCCTTGTAACAGTAATATATTTATATAGCATAGAACTATTTTTAAACTTCATAGAAACCGTAATCTATTACAAGTTGTTAATAATAAATTAAGAATACCCTTTTTAAATAGTAGTTAGATTATTAATCATAGAACTATTGTCAAAGTTTTGAGAAACTGTAATGTATTACTAGTAATGTGTGTCACACCGTTTTTTTCACAGTTATCTATAATAAGTAAAGAAAACTATTTATAAGAGAATTATGCGTATTAAGCCTAGAACTATTTTAAAAGTTAAGAATATTCATTTTAAATAGTAGTCTAGCTCTTAAGCCTAGAACTATTTTAAAGGTTCAGAGTAATGGTAATCTTTTTGGCAAACTGAATATTAAGTGTTAAGATAAAGAATATATATATATATATATATATATATATATATATATATATATATATATATATAATTTTGAACTCATTTTATTAAAATAAAGATCAACGAAATACATGAGGGGAGGACCAAACCAAAGCCCCTCCAGAAAATGAGATCCAAACACTTAAACTACGAACATCCAAAAGCCATGGATTCAACTAAAAAAGCCAAGACATTTGACAACAAGTAGTCTTCTTTATTCCGCCTAACAACTACCAAACTCTAAAACAACCCCTAACTACTGGTAGTGCAATAACAGCCATACGCAAAAATTAAAAACTGTTAAACATCCCCTGATAGTGCAAGAACAACCATCTCCTATTACACTCATCTAAGAATAAACCCTTACAGCTCAAAGTAATCAGCATAAAGAAACTAACTTCCGTGTCTGCTACTGCTTTAGACCAATTGAACTCCATAGCCATTGATTCTAAAGCCTAACAGCCAAAGACAATTCTACAATCGTTTAGCTATTAATAGTGAAGTAGAACTAAACCCCATCAACACCCTTTCACAAGTTTAAAATGCAGCAGCTCTAATCCTTTACCTGCAGCAGGCCATTACGCAAAGCCAAACACTATATCTAAATAACAAAAGCCACAAGGTTACACACAATCAGCAAAAAAAACACTGCCTATGATTGATGAGAATGTTGATAAATCTACTGATGCATTAGCAACTCTAGAAAGTGATAATGTGCCACTCGAACATCTTGAGGCGGAGTTGTTTGCAGACATTAGAACATCAATACAGAGATCCAACAAAACCTCTGGTTCCAGGAAAGAAACATCTTCTAAGGCAGACCCTGGCAAGTCACAATGTACTTTTTCCTAGTCGGTGTCTTGTTTAATTGTTGGAAACCTTACTATTAAGTAATAGGGTATGAATTATTGCTTTCTGTACTCTTCTTTTTACAGCTTCAAAAAAGGCAGATGTCGCTTCAAAAAATGTGGTAAGACCAACTAAATAACAAAAGCCACAAGGTTAAACACAATCAGCAAAAACCCATCTTAGAAATCAAAGTCTAAGTTGCAAATCCAAAGGCAACTTAGCATCAATGGTAAATCTAAAATACAGCAACTTAGCATCAATGGTAAATCTAACAGAGCAATCATTCAATAAATAAAAAACCATCCAAATTTCACTAAAAGAGAACCTTATGGCCAGATAAGAGACCTATAAAAAATTTATTAAAAATCAAGTGGAATTGAAATCCATGTTCATCCCACACAGATTATACAAAAATGAGGCAAAAATAATAGCATGGCAAAGTGGACAATCCTTCCGACAAGCCCAGTCATACCCAAGGCACAACCAGTGCACAAGGACAGTCCTTCCGGCAAGCCCAGTGCATAAACAACCTCTCAAACCCAGCGCAACAACAAAGTTAATAAAAAAAGCAAGCAAAAATTGACAGAATCGCAGTCCAAATCCAGTACATATGAATCCCAAAAATCCTCAACTCATGAGGGAATTCAAATGAAATTGAAATCAAGCTTTAAAAGAAGGAGGGGTATCGCAAACCGCTCAACATATCACAAGATTAGCCATCAAAAGTGTCCGAATTCAATAGAATCGGAGAGATAAAACTTCGAGTGAACAATACCTTCCATGGCGTGGGACTGACGGCGAAGGCTATGAATTGGCAACTGGGCAGTCGGCGCTGGGCAGTGGGACTGGCGGCGAAGGCTCTAGGCGAATTGGCGATGGCTGGGACTGACGGCGAAGGCTCTGGGTGAATCGGCGAATCCTTTGCTCGGGAACAACACAGGCGCGATGGCGATTAAGGTTGGGCTATTGAGTGAAAACGAAATTAGGAAGCGGGAGAATAAAATTGGGAAGAGGGAAAATGAATTTGGTTATAATTGGGAAGAGGGAGAATGAAATTGGGAAGAGGGAAAATGAATTTGGTGATAATTGGGAAGAGGGAGAATGAAATTGGGAAGAGGGAAAACTTTCCATTTTTTGTAATATGTTAAGATCTAGTCTGATTTGATCTGATCTGAATGAAATTATATGTAAGGTTGTTGATCATTTGATAAAATAAAATACTCTTGTCACCTCTTATTTTGTAGAGTTTTCGATGTAATTTTTAAATATAATTTTTTATATGTTATTTTTTTACCAATTTGCAAAAAATATGATTTTAAAACCACAGGGTTTTACAGGTTAATCAAACTATCAAAGTAAGAAATTCTTTTTGGGACGGAGAAAGTATGAGTTTTGAAATGTTAAAAAAAGTTGTTTGGAGAGATCTAAAATAAGATCTTATATGACCAAAAATATGAGTATTTAGAAGAATTGGATCTATGCAAGTAACCAGTTCAGTTATCAATACCGGTCAGATCTTATACGGTCAAAAGTATGAATGTCCTAAGAAATTGGATCAGTGTGAGTAACAAGTTCAGTTATCACTATTTCTAAAATCTTATTAGCTCAAAAGTATACGTATTTAGAAGAATTGGATCTGCGCAATTACCTTGTTATTAAATATTTATAATTAAATTGTTTTAATTTGAAAATTTGATCTGATCTTAATATATTTGAATTTGATTTGATCTGATCAGATCTATTTTGGTTTGATTCAATCTAATTATATCTGATACGATGCATTTAAGAATTAGATTAGGCAAATATATTGACACGACCTATAGAATTAAAATTGATTTTTTTTTAATATTTGATCTGATCTTACTAGCTAGCTTTGAATTTGATTTGATTCGATGTTTTTTTGAAAATTATATCTGATCTTATTGGATTTGAATATGATTGTAGTCATGTATTTAAAGATTATATCTGGCAATAAGACACAACCTTGACAAGTAAATTGATTTTTTTAAGATTAGATCTCATCTTATTGGATTTGAATTTGATTTGATCCGATTAGATCTGTTTTGGTCTGATTCAATCTAATTAGATCCGAACTGATGCATTTAAAGTTTATATCACAAAAGTAAGACACAACCAACACAAGTAGATTATTTTTTTAAAGATAAGATTTGATCTTATTGGATTTGAATTTTATCTATTGATTAGATCTATTTTTCTGATTCAATCTAATTAGATCTGATATGATGCATTTAAGGATTAGATCAGACAAATATGACACGACCTGTACAATTAAATTGATTTTTTTAATATTTGATCTGATCATACTAGATTTGAATTTGATTTGATTCGATATTTTTGAAGATTAGCTCTGATCTTATTGGATTTGACTTTGATTTATTCCGATTAGATCTGTTTTTGTCCGATTTGATCTAATTAGTCCGATTAGTTATATTAAAAACTCTTTTAATTTGATCTAGTCTAATATGATATGATGAGATCTGATTTCATTAGATATCATCTAAACAACATATAAACATGTTATATTGAGATGCAGTGGCTCACGTGAAATATGCAAGCAATAAGATGTGATTGAATTTGATTTGATCTATCTTATCTGATTAAATCTAATCTGCTAGATCTAATTCTAGTTATATTTAAAATATCTTTCTAATTTGATCTGTTTTAATCTAATTTGATTAGATATAATCTAAACAACATATAAACATGATAAACTGAGATGCAATGGGTTGCATAAAATATACAAGCAATCAGACCTGATTGGATTTGATTTTATCTTATCCTATCTTATTTTATCTAATTAAGATCTAATTGTAATATATTTAATCTGCTTGATCTAATTGTAGTTATATTTAAAAAAAAATTAATTCAATTTGATTTAATCTTATTTGATGAGATATGGTTTGATTAGATATCATCTAAACAACATATAAACATGTTAAACCGAGATGCAATGATCTGATTTGATATATTCTTATCTGTTTGTGTTTTTTTGAAAGACAATAATCTTTTAGAAATAATAATATTTTGAAAGTATTTTATAAAATAAATATAAAATTGTTTGGTAACAATATCTAAAGTCAATTTTATTTTAGTGGTCAAAGTTTATGAATTTTGTCGTAAAAGACTGATAGGTACTAACTAATAGAGAGAATCAAGACGGACCAGGTGGAACCTATAAATTCTTGTTGAATGATTAGAAAAATTATACTGTTGGGTAGGGATCGAAGAATCGAATCTAACAATGCAAACGGATCTCAATTCGGAGTAAGTTGGCCCGAAAAGTGTGTTTTACTCAGATACGTTATTTTAAATTACAAGAGCAAAACCCTAGGCATATATATACTCTTTTCACGCGTTAGTTTTGGCCTCCTTCTTCCCCGATCGAGCCACGCCGCCACTAGACCTAGCCTTCTCTGACGAACTCCGATCACCGCCCCCGCCACCACGACATCGCCGACGCCCCCCCATTGCATCTGCGACCAACGATGACGCAAGCAACACGAACAGAGGCAACGACCTGGATGAGGGCAGCAGGCCCCGGCGACTCCCTTTGTTCCGGTGAAGTCTAGCAGCGACGGGGAAGGGCGATGTCGCGAGGGCAGTCGACGGCTACGAATGGTCAGCGGCGGGCGACCTCCATCTTTGGCGGAGAATTTCCGATCAGACACAGGGGTGGTGGTAATGATCTCCACCGGCGACGAGGGTAGTCCAGCGAGAAGGGGGTTGTGGCCTCCATCTTTTCCGGAGAAACAGTGGGTAGTCCATCGAGCCTCCTCTGCTCCGGCAAAAATAGCAGCGAAGGTGTCTAGGAGGCAGGCCGCCGACGGCGTCTGGGCAGCGACTCCGGCGAAATCTGCTATGTCTGCAATGTCTCTTTTCACTACCCAATCGCCAACTGGAGTTGTGAGTTTCCTTCTAGTTTCAATCGGATCTGTTAAGTAAATGTAAATGTCGCTAGGCTTTTCTCATTAAAGCCTAACAGTTGTGGATTTATGAAAAGCTACAAATTCTGCATCTATTTTGTCTTAGCTTTGATTGTGAATAGATGTCTGCTGCAGCACAGCATGCTTAATGAGACTGTTTGACTCATTAGATTATATTAAGGTCTAATTTATGAACTATTTAGGATAATTGTTGGAGCTATTTTAATGTTCTTGGTTGTTTTAAATTTCTAGCAATCTTTGGTTTGTGTGTCTGTGTGCATTTTGAGATTTTAAGGTCATGTGTGTGTTTTAGCATACTCATAGGTAATATCTTCTATTGTAAATTTACAGGCCATAACCTCATCATGGTCAAAGAAAGAAGATCGATTTGTGGCTGATCTTAATTAAGCTTAAGAGCAAGAAGATTGCCACAGATATCAAAGTTGATAGCAACTCAAATGTGAGTCTCTCCTTATACATCTGATTCAAATATATATAATACATGTATCGCTTAGCATGGACCAAGAAAATTTGATTACACACATTTACTCTAATTGCTTCTGGAAGTCAATTTCATCAAAATGAGATTTTCTATAGTGCAATGCCTTTTTAATTGCGTTAAATCAAAAGAGGTATTAATCAAATGTCTGCAATGTACTCTAATTGCTTCTGCAAGTCAATTTCATTGCCTTTCAATGTTTGCAATGTCTCTTTTCAAAACAATTGGCCCAGCAGCTAGGGGTTCCATGTGAGTTTTTTCTTTTCTTTCCTCGGTTAGGTTAATCTTTTGGTGATTCAACTCAGTATAAGTCTGTATATGTTTCGCTTGCAGATTTTCATGGTCACAACGGCGCCAAGAATTGAAGGCCTGTCTTCCCCTGATTTAATGCTGGATGTTATTGAGGGGACAAATAACTAAATTAGGCATGCTCAATGGACAATTAGAATGCGATTTTAATTATGTAAATATTAAATTATTGGATGCTATTAAGATTTTGGATTGTATGTATTTAGATATTATTCAATATATTGTACATTTTGGAATTTATTTTTGTTTCATGATCAATATTTAGAATTGAAATAAATTTTAATTATTAAATATAATTGTAAATTGAAATATAGTAGTCTTTCAAAAAGCTTTACAATGTATTTAAACAGTTTTCTAAATCTTTAAAGAACGACTACACAAACCCGTATTGTTAATAAATGTTAGACAATTTAAACAAACAGTTGTATGAAATGCAACTAATAAGGTTGTTTACATTTTAAAAATACAACACATAATAGCAGTTGTTTTATGCAAACATACTTGTCTTCGGCGCAGTAGTCTGATTTATAATCTGACTAGTGTGTAAAATGATAGTTTGAATATTTCAAGGACAACTACAAAAAAGCGCAGTGTTATTAAGCACTATACAACTGAAAGAAACGGTTGTTTAAAATATAGTAAAATTAGTAGTTCATATTCTAGAAATACAACAAAAGATAACAATTGTCTGATCTTATTTTTGTTTATAAGTCTTCCGAGCAGCAGTCTGATATATCTTTCAATTACTTTTTAAAGTAGATGTGTATATTGTTGAACGACAACACCGAGAATTAGGAGTCTGAAGGTAAAAACAACAGTAGCATTCATTATAGGTAGACAACAAAAAATCACAGTTCTCTTTAACTCGAAAAAACAGATGTCTTACTCATACGGGACAACACTAAAAAGTGGTACTCTAAAGCATTACAAAACAGGTGTCGTCAACCATTTTACACAATTGTTTTTAAACAATAGTCTGTAAATATATCAGACAGCTGCTCGGAAGACTACTGAAATCAGCACCGAAAGACTACTAAAAGAAACAGTTGTCAGCATTTGTTTTTGACGTAGTGTGTAAAAGGGAATACATAAAGTTTAAAGAAAGTTCTTTAAAAAAAGTTAATTACACAATAAAGTTCTTTAAATAAAGTTAATTATTATGGGAATAAAAATCTTTGCATAAAAGAAATAAAAAATAACTTTAAATAAAGTTGATTACACATCAGAGTGACAAAGGGAATAAATAAAGTTTACTATTATTATAACATAAAAATATCAAAAAATACTTGAACAATGATTGGAAAGGGGCCGCGCGAACACTGGCCCCGCTACCACAAATTATGACGTAGGCTCCACCACTTGGGTAGACCTTAGGCGGACACCCTTCCAAGGTGCAATGGAAGTCATCAACCTAGACCATGGGCCTTCTTGATCACCCATTGACCCCGTTCAGGTAAGTATGGAGCTCTATGCCCCTTGGCCTTCATTTATACTCTCGTGCTCGCATTGTTGTGTGTTCCACAGCCGGTGTGGGATGGAGGGATTCTTTTTTTATTTCTAATCCTCCTCCCTTTTCGTTTAATTTCGTCCACGCGCTGCTTCTCTTTCTTTTCCTTTTTTATTTTCTTTTTTCATCTCTTTCTATTTCTAATTCTCCCTTCCAACAACCTACCTACCTCTATAAGTTACAGTTCTTTTTTAAGCAACACTCCAAATTCTTCTTTTATACTTCACTATCATTTTTATTTTCTAAAATGGCACTACAAAACTTGTGAATATTTTTTTGATAATTCTATTATGAGTGTTTTTTCAAAAACAAAATTACAACGGGAGTATTTTAGAATAGTTTTCAAACAAGAGATGTGCGTTGTATAATTGTTATCAATAAATTA